ATGCGATCATCTTCAAGTTTTGAATGATGGTACTTGTTTTGTAAGTAGTGTTTGTGTTTTAATAGGATTCGCAATGACGGTGGGATGCTTGGTCGTTGCTGTTTGATTTTATGCCATACGGTTACGCGGTGTTTCAGAGCGTCTAAGAATTTTTGGAAAAATCTGAACCATTCAAACCGATGATTTTGTTTATTTTTTCCTTCATTTTCAATGTCTGGTTGTAATACACTTAATAGGTTTTGATAAACGTCCCAGTATGTCTTGGGTAAAAGGAATGTGTTCTCGTTAACGTGTATATTGTTGCATTCTATGAATATTGGTAGATGATCGCTTCCAGTGTAAGGTAGTGTACGGCATTGAATTGTCGATGTTTGTTCCGTTGACATTATTAAGTCTATTGTTGTATCCGATCTCAGCGATGTTTTCATCCCAACATTATGAATGATAATATTATCGTTGATCTCTAGCCATTCTGATAAGATTATTCCTTTTTTGTTTGTTTGAATGCAGCCCCAATCTGGGTGTTTTGCGTTAAAATCCCCTACTATAATGATGTCATTGGAATAGCGCTTCAAAGACGACATGACTGACAGAGGCAAATTTTCTGTTGAAGGAGAATAGAATGATGCAATTGCATATGTTTTGGTTTTTACTGTGACGAGTACTGCTACTGCATTAAGTTCGTCGATGTCAAGCTGAATACTGCTTAGTTTTTTGTCAATAGCCAGCACTGCTCCGCCATGTGTGTTTGTTCCTCTTTTTGTATAGACGTTATACGAAAATAGAGAGTTTTTTAAGATACTTTCTGGAATAGTTGTGCCCAGTTCATTCAGAGAAAGGCAGGTAGGAGAATACTGATTTACGATATTCAGGAGATCACACTGATTAGAGTAGAAAAACTGAATGTTATAGTGCACGATAGAAAAACAGACACTCTTTATCTCTGTCTGCCTATGTCCTTCGAGCCACTTATCTAAGATAGCTTCTTTAAATCTCGAGTGACACCATTCTTCTAATGAAGAACAGCCTAGATCTTTTTGAAAATTTGACATTCCATGTGATTTCTGTAAAAATTTAGATTTTAGTTCATCTTGTTTATTGTTAGTGTTACTGTTATTATTATTATTATCCTGTGCCATTTGGATTCATTGAGGATGTTCTTGACACCAATGAGGTAGATATCGACACATTCTAAATTCATATGTTTTCATGATAAAGATCTAACGTGTATATGTCATATTGATCAATTCTCGAATTGTTTTCTATTTGATCATACAATGAATAATGATTTTCAAGGATACTATTAGCACAATTCTATTTATTTTATGATTAATTAATGGATTATTATCAGATGAAAACAAGAGAAGTTAGTAGTCGAAATTGTTTATTAATTTGATCAATTATTTCAATTGTGATGATAGTTGTATTGAAAATAAAGTTTTGGGAATTACTTCGTTCACAAATGTCTTTAACAAGGAATCGATCTTTTCTTTATTTGAATTGTATTTCATTAGATATTATCATTATTATCTAAGTATATTTATTTGGACAATATTAACAGATATTCATGATCCAATTCACCGTCAATTAAATGATGATTTTGATATAGATGAACATAGTATTTGGTCGTTTGTCCCATATTCAACCTCTCTATCAACATATACAACTCAGTGATCCGTTTCTTTGATTTTCTAATTCCTTCTTCCATTAATGTTATTTCTGCTCTCTGTATTATCAAAAATGCAACTCATAGTCGCTCCATGGTACGACCTGAACAATCGTTTCAGCAAGATCTACAGCATCAAATCCAACACCGTCGGAATATTTTCAATGTGCAATATTGATCGAAATTCATCTAGAAGAGAAAAATAAATAACTTCAATTGAAATTGAAATTGAAATTACATACCATTGATCAGAATCATTTTGAGATTCCGCAGAAGTAACAAATAACTAATTGTTTCGAAGATGATGAGGTGTGTTATCTTTAGAGAGTGATGTGAGATATTTGAGAAATAAATAAATGAAAGATGAGTGAAGAAAAATCTATTAATCACTGAATTAATTTTATTGCATCATGTTACTTAAAAAATTCATGTTCAGTAGTTACTCAAGAAGAAAATGTGAAGTAAAGTCTGTGAAAAGGAAGAAAAAATTGAAGTGAATTTGGTGTTCGTATTCTCAAATGAGTTTTGTTCTTTCCGTTGTCTCGTGGTCAGACGTGGCTTAGTAACATCGATCACCAATCTACAGGAGACTTCTTCGTCGATATCTTGAGACTGCAAATTATCATCATCACAATCAAGACAAGAATCGATCGGTCGTTTTAAACGAGCAGAAGTATTTTTCTCTTTCGATGACGATGAATTTGTTTCGAGAACAGATAATGTTTGCTGAGCGGAGAGAATTCAGTTTGGTTATGTTCACTCGATATGTTCGATGATCTAAGTTGTTAAAATACAAAGCATGACGCGATACACAATCCTCCGAAGAGACATACGTGTTTGACATGCTCGGATTTACTGATTCACTTGATGGACTTGATTTTGTCGTAGAATCAATCTCGATGTTCGCTGATTGTTCTTTCGCTATGTTAGAGGGTAATTGAGCTAAAGGCCCTAGTCGACCGATCTTACGGCAATTCTATAGAAATCTTATAAGAATCTTATATAAGGCAGTCGATGGCAATGCGTAATTTATTAAATCAAAATATGATCGAAATATGATCAAAAGATGCAAGACGCGAGGAGTACAGAATCACAAGAAAAAAATTTCAAACCAAAATCTAAAAGTTTTCGCGTCGGAAGGAGAGGAAGGGGGAATAATAGACGTAACCATAGGACCTCAGCTGCTGCCCTCTAAAGAAGCTTCGGGCCCTCCTACCAGAAGCCAAGAAGGGGCTGGGCTCCGCCCAGAACTATTTTCTGATTACGCCACTGAGGGTGGGGTAGGGGTAAGGTCTCCTTATTGTTTTATACAGCACTTTGCAGCTCCTGAACTTTCCTTTGAAAAAACGTCTGAACGAGAGTGATTAGCCGAAATGTAATTGTCTGCTGAGTTAAATGCACTAATAAATAGCCTTCGTACGGATTTTCCAGGTTCGAGAAACGTACCATTGCTAGATGAATAATAACTATTATGTAACTTTCTGTTTTTATTCTGCTTTAATACCATTCTGCTAATCATTTATCGAGCTTCTAAATAGTTTGATGTGTTTATTATTTATGTAATATGGAATTTCTATTCAGGCCTTGTTATTGTTCATGGTCGCCCACGTCATCTTCAATCTCAGAGCAGTCATCCTATTCCGCGATGTTGCACATTCCGGAATCAATTCCACCAATTCCGGAATTCCATTTCTTCACAACCTTATTCAATTCCGGAATTCCTTCCACCTAATTCTGGAATTCCGTCGTGAGGGTGAGGGTGCGGGTGATGATGTAATTCTGTCAAGGAATTCCGGCAATAGTACGAATTCTAGAATTGGTAGGAATTCCGCGAAATTCCTATCAATTCCGTCTACCATCCAATTCCGGAATTCCGTTGCGGAATTCAGTCGATGATCTGAGTGATATCCAAGCAGGGACCAACTATGATGGCATTCCAGAATCGGAAGGAATTGGTCGCAGGAATTGTTGAATTAGAGTGAAGGAGATTAGAGGGAATTCCGGAAATGAAGGAACTCGTTCCAGGGCCGGAACTAGTTCCCGAATGTGCAACATCGCGGAATATGATGTATTCTCATGATGTGTCGAGTGGTCGTCCGTCCATTTTCCTAATTAACGGACGATATTACATCAAGTTTCAAAAAATTAAAAACAATTAATTAAGCAAAATAGTTTTCTTTTATATCGACGTAACTAATGATTCATTATCAATTGCCAAGTGCATCAGTTAAGATCGCGATTGCCTTTCGATCAAACCCTGAGATTGGAGAATACATCCTATTCCGCGATGTTGCACATTCGGGAACTACTTCCGGCCCTGGAACGAGTTCCTTCATTTCCGGAATTCCCTCTAATCTCCTTCACTCTAATTCAACAATTCCTGCCACCAATTCCTTCCGATTCTGGAATGCCATCATAGTTGGTCCCTGCTTGGATATCACTCAGATCATCGACTGAATTCCGCAACGGAATTCCGGAATTGGATGGTAGACGGAATTGATAGGAATTTCGCGGAATTCCTACCAATTCTAGAATTCGTACTATTGCCGGAATTCCTTGACAGAATTACATCATCACCCGCACCCTCACCCTCACGACGGAATTCCAGAATTAGGTGGAAGGAATTCCGGAATTGAATAAGGTTGTGAAGAAATGGAATTCCGGAATTGGTGGAATTGATTCCGGAATGTGCAACATCGCGGAATAGGATGACTGCTCCACATCATTGGTCAGAAGGTCTTTCTTCAGTGATCTATGCTATTAATAATCGTACTACTCATACAACGAAAAAAAGTCCTTATCAAGTAGTATTTGGTCAAGAATTAAAAACTAATATGATTTATTGGAAAGGTTTGTACGACGCTGCTGTTGAGAACAATGTGTCGATGGATGATTTGATCATCGATAAAATTGATTCTGTTGATGATAAAGAAAAACAGTCACGCCCTAAATCATAATCAAATCGGTCGCCTTCTGGAACAGGTAATAAATTATTTAGTTGTTATAGGAAGTATAATCTTTTCATCATTAGTTACTGAAGAATCAATTATTGTATCACAATCAATCGTTTCCAAAGATCAATCAGGTACAAGTAACATTTTTTTTTCTAATTTGACAAATAGAATATTTCCTTCGCATTTTTTAATGAAAAGATAATAAATCAGAAGAAATTTCATCACAAGAAATCGACCCTTCTGATCAATCACGTGAAAGCTAATGCTTTTAAATTAGCTTAAATAATTTTTCATACGATTAGTTGTTAGTACGAATATTATGGAGAGATGAAAATGAAGTTGAACAAACACCATTCACTTTAATTTCTGCAAAAGCCACTACATCTGATGATAGGTTATTGTTTTCACGATATTAAGATTTACCTTTAGACACATAATGACTAAGACGCACATGTGTCATTTTCCTTTTAGAAAAATGCAACATGAAATTTCGGCTTTTTTTGGCATTTTGCATCCTGAACTGCAAAAAAGACTGATTTTGCATTCTGAAATGTAAAAAACAGTGATTTTTCATCCTGAGATGCAAAAATAACTGACTTTGCATTCTAGAATTCAAAACGAGATTAATTTGCATCTCGAAAAGTGGTATTGGCATTTCTGAAAACACCTATCAGCAGAAGGAAAATACATAGTCAAAGTAGGGAAACAAATGTTAGATCTTATCCGAGCTAAAATGCAGTCTAGACATAAAAATAACACTTCTTATGATGTTTGGATTAAATATTCGAAACAAGATATTTTGGGATGGTATTGCAGCTGTGCCGCGGGTGCAAGAGTAGTGGGCTGTTGTGCTCATATTGCTTCTACTATCTGGTATTTGGCTTTTGCACGATATCATCCTACACATCTTATACAGGAATCATCAACTTTTCTAGAATCTATGGAGGATGCAGCCGAGTATTCAGACATTTCTGATGACTCTGATCAAGATACTGATTCTGGTGATGAGAATACGTTGTACTCTTTAGCTTAATACGAACACTCACGAACACAAAGAAGAAAGGTTAAGAACACCCAAAAAAGTGTGCCAAATTCATCTTCAGGTTATTCTGACCTGAGGGTATGGTGTGGTGGAGCCTACCAGTACCTCACCCCACATCCACATCACACCCTCAGGCCAGAATAACCTGAAGATGAATTTGGCACACTTTTTTGGGTGTTCTTAACCTTTCTTCTTTGTGTTCGTGAGTGTTCGTGGGTGTTCTTTGGGTGTTCGTAGGTGTTCGTGGATGTTCGTGGGTGTTAATAAGTTCCAGTAACTTATTAACATCTTCAATGTCATATTTTCTTTGTTTGTTCTTGAAATGTTCCATGTATCTAACACAATTACCAGTATTATTGCATGGTAAAAACTCTTAAGTAGATATGAACAACAAACAAATATGGAAGATGACTGAAATTTAAATTTTTTTGTTCAATCTGTTTTGCGCGGTTTAGACTGAATAATTTGTTCGAATTCTTTTTGGCGGTATAATTAAAAACTTGTTGATCATCGATTTCAAATTTTCTTCGTTTCGTTTTGTTTCTTATCAATCATAATATCGATGAAAAATGACGACATAGCGAGAATTTTACCTAACAACAAAGTTTATTGCAAATTAATTTTTTGACCCAAACCCCATTTAGCAGATAATGAGTATCGGATAGCGACTGAAATAGTTAATAATAAAAGGCAGTATACGTGCCTGCATTTTGACGATTTATTTCATTTAATAACTCAAATTCCGATTAAAAGAAGGTCTTATTATGAACATATTAGTCGTGATGATCTAGTCAAACTCTATTTAGATTACGAGTATTACAAAATCGAACGAAATAAAGGACGAGTGGCATTAGCTTAGGCTCGCGGACCACAATGAATAGGCATGAATTATAGTTTTTCGGAATCAGCATTGAATTCTGAACAAAACTGTCGCTTCAGATTTTTTAAATGCGACAAAAAAATTTTTTCGAAAAATTTTAGGGCAAACCCCCTGGTCAGGGACGTCGAAAATTTTTTTTCTGATTTTTTGACAAAGAAAAGTTTTCTCTTACAGATTCGAGTGTGCTGATTACGAATATCGCAACCGCGGCTCCAACAAATGGTTTCCTGAGGAATGGCATCCATTTTAATTTTTGGTCCAAAACACGGTTCTTTTGAATTTTTGTCTCCTAAGTCGGTGGAGTTGAGTCTGAGATGCTCTAAAATGACCTATTTTTATGTAATTTAATGTGCTCTATCCGAATTTGAAGGAACTAGCTTCATCCGATGCAAACTAGATTTTCTAGTGTTACATGACCTAGCCGATTTTCCACCTAGCATGTTATGGGTCACGAATAGTATATAAGGAAATGAGGTACCAATAAGCCATTTTGGGTGGTGATAGCCCTAGGCTTGCTCTTTCGAATGGTATGTCATTTAGGTCGAAATTCAATGTCTAGGTCTACCAGCCAAAGCAAATACTTTGGAATGCTCTTTTTAACAAGTTTTTCGATAAAAATTATTCCATACTTTATTCTTCTTACAAAAGCTGTTATTTTTCAACACAATCGAATACAAGTGTACGTGTTCAGTTAAAAAATATTTGATACATTCTTTCTTTTCTTTTTTTCACATAAAAAAGACAGTTATGTAAGTGCAAAAGGACTGTTACAATTGTGACTAGTGTAACAGTCACAATTTTTAGCTTCGATTGTATTAAGCTAAAGAGTACAACGTATTCTCATCACCAGAATCAGTATCTTAATCAGAGTCATCAGAAATGTCTGAATACTCGGCTGCATCCTCCATAGATTGTAGAAAAGTTGATGATTCCTGTATAAGATGTGTAGGATGATATCGTGCAAAAGCCAAATACCAGATAGTAGAAGCAATATGAGCACAACAGCCCACTACTCTTGCACTCGCGGCACAGCTGCAATACCATCCCAAAATATCTTGTTTCGAATATTTAATCGAAACATCATAAGAAGTGTTATTTTTATGTCTAGACTGCATTTTAGCTCGGATAAGATCTAACATTTGTTTCCCTGCTTTGACTATGTATTTTCCTTCTGCTGATAGGTGTTCAACCGTATAAGATTTGGCCTGTTTCAATTGATAGGTTCCGGTCTTTCCACGTTTAACACTGGAGCAGTTAAACGATATTACTCTTGGTGAGTTTTAGAAATACTCATATTTTTCTTAGTTGGCACTCAGGAAAATTTTTTTCTTTAATTCCCGTTCGGAAATTTCGCTATGAAAATAGCAACTGTTCAGTATGATATAGCAACAATGTCCAAACGAAAAAATTACTTAAAAAATGTTAGCACATTTCTCGAATAGTTCTGATAGGCACCTATCAATTGAAACAGGCCAAATCTTATACGGTTGAACACCTATCAGCAGA